CTACCCGGTTTAGGCTTGTATCCCTAGAATTCAGCCAGAGCACAGCTAGATTCTGGGAAACACTGGGTAGGGTAAATTGACCAGGAGCTCTTGTAGCTCTGTTTTCTCACGGTGGAGGAAAGGCAGTCCTGCAACCATGACCTTACCCTTCCTAACCTGGCCTAACTTGGGGGCCGTAGATCATTCAATAGCAACTCAAGGGGAATTAACCCCCTAAGGCATGAACTTGCCCTGGCTGAACAGCGTAGAAGACAGCCAAGTTCACACACAAACTTAATGTGGTGACGACAGTCTGTTTAGTCAGTGGTAATTCCGGATATGCATTAATCACTGCTGCCTGCCCTTAGCGAGCCATAGCTGTAGTCAAAGTCTACTGCATATAGATTGTCTTGGAGCTTTCTAGAAGCAGGCACTGTGGGGAGTTAAAAATAAAGGAGAAAGAGAGTTCCTGTACTTGGGACGCTTAGAGAATCCAGGCCTAAAATATAGGGCTTGCCTTTATGGGGGCTTTTGGCTACCTTTGAGGGAGGAGGTGGTCAGGGAAAATGTCTTATAATACATTTTAATCATTCATGTACAACAGTCATTCACGTACAGTATTCATGATTTAACCAAGTGACAGGAGGCAGTATGGAGGGTGCATCTGCATTGGAGGAGGGACCACATGCATTATGTAGCAGAGAGCTATTTTTTCTCCAAGCTAGTCTTCACTTCTGTAGGCTGGGAAAATCCTCTTGGTACCGACCCCATGGTAAAATTTTCCACTAAATGTTATGTCTTTTCAACAGTATGTCCCCAATAAAGATCTTGGATTCCTTTCAAAACACTATGTATGGAATCTGAGAGGTTCCTTTATAATGGAGTAAAAGCATCACGGGTTGTGTTTGGTTGGTATTAAGGGTTTTTTAATAAGGGATCTTAAAGATAAAAAAAAAAAAGTTTGAAAGCCCAAGTGAATTAATTAAGAATAGAACACAATATACATATTTAAGCTCTTAGTAATACTACAAACCATTTTGGTAAGCAAATATTTCGTTATTTTTATTAGCAGGTTGCTGACGTTGTATCTAAAGCTGTTTTTGGAAAGGAAAATGATTCCGGAATCTATGTTAAACATAGCCATAGGGCTTTGGTCATCGATTGATTGACATGAAATGCTTTTGTGACACATTTAAGCCTATTTAGGACTCAAAGACTTTTTAGTCAAAGTGTTAACTACCCTGTAGAATCAAGAGGGAAAAAAAATTTTAAGGCTTTAAATATTGGAATTTCAAATAGGTAGTCTCTGATTTCTTATAGATAATTTCCTTTCAAACTTCATCTATCTAGCTATGAGTATGTGCACACACACACACACACACACACACACAAACACACACACATCTGATGGTGGAAAGATAGAGATTTGTCATTATGACATGTCATACTATCATTATTATAGCAGTGATGTAAATATTAGTAAACTACTAACCAATTATTACCAATACAAGCTTATGCATCAATAATGTATCAACTTTCACAAAATGATAAAATCAGTTTCAGTGAGTATTAGTATATATTAAACTGTACAATGTCATAACCTGCTAGAGAGAATATGGAAATTATTATAACCTTCTAGGGATAATAACATTGAGATTGAAATTTGTTTCTCTATTAACATATTTCAAAGTACTCTCAAATAGAGAATGACTCTTCTGAGATTCATAACCACTCTGTGAGACTGGTATTACACTATATGATCATCTGTGTTTTACAGAAGAAACAGGTTTAGCCAGGTTAAGTGGCTTGCCCTAAATCCCACAGCCAGTGTTAGACAAAGCCAGGGCCTAACCCCAGCTTGCGCTCAACCACTTCATGGCATGTACTTTTAATCCTATCATGATTGGCTCTTGTCTTTTGCTTTTCATTAAAAAACCAATGCAAGTACAGGGGAGAGAAGATAAAAATTTGTTAAAGACATTGCATAAACTTTTGATGTTTTCTGAAAAATTACCCAACAATGTGATTGATTCCTAAATACTACAAACTAAGCTTTTTAATTTAAGATGTGAGTTTCTAATCACCACTAAGATCTTGGACAGTGTATGTAGAATGTATTAACAGACAGGATGATGTATTAAGAGACATTTTAATGTTTAGGTAGTCCATTTATTTCTTCGAAAAGTAAATAGGAAACAAAGCCTATTTAAAAATAGGTAATTAGACATATAGTCCTATTTTGGTAGAGATGAGGTAGTGTATGAACATTTATTTGGGAAAAAAAAAAAAAAAAGCAAAGCCATGACCATCTCTTAAATCCTATAACAAGAGGAAAAGTGGGATGGCGAAACCTTTAGCAAAATGTGTAGGGCTAGTGCTGGCCGCAGTACAGCCCTCCCTGCAGAGAGGCCGTTGTCCCTGACTGAGAGACCTAACCGGTGTCACTATGCAAATTTGCCGTCCCACACATCAAAGGTCTGATTCAGTAGTTTTAAAAGAGAGAGCAGGAGAGGAAAGAGGAATTCAAAGGAGAGTAAGGGAACACAAAGGTAACAGCGACCACCCACCACACCAAGTCAACTTTAAACTAGACAACGGCAAACCGATTGGTCAGGCATTTTTATTGAAAGCCCAGAAGTAGCTTACCTGTTCCAATGTGGGCTTGTGGTTAATAATTTTGTCAATGTGAAGTGCTTTAACAACATATTCAAACTAATTTTGCACCCCCAAAGCCTTTGGTCAATATATCATTTAGCTGCATCAGGAGGAATATAGTGTATTTTAAAAGCTTCAAATTTGAAAAATTTTAAAGAGCTTGGGCTCTGGTCTTGAAGTCACAAAGGCATTACAGCAGCAGTTCTGATTATACAGGAAAGCATCATTTAGGCCAGTGTTTCTCCAAACCAGAGTCTGAAGTCTGATGGCAGCAACATCACTGGACAACTTGTTAGGATGCAAATTCTCCAGGCCAACCCTGAGCTAAGGAGTAAGAATCATTGAGGATGGGGCCCAACAGCTGTTTTAACAAGGTTTTCACATAATCCTTTTGTGTGCTAAAGTTTGCAAAGCACTGATTTAGACTACTGTTTATCAAACTGCAGATTACAACCTATTAGTAAGTTGTAAAATCAATCCAATGAGCAGTGACAAGCATTTTACAAAAGTGAAGTCAAACAGAAAACAGAGTCCATTTCAGGTAGCACAGGTATTATCTCAAAAACTTGTTTCAGTTCTGCATATATGTATACCTGTGTGTACTAACTTGGATGAAGCAGCACTTTTAATTTTTGAAGAACTGGTAGGTATAATAAAGAAATGACACATTTTCAATGAAGTCAGAACTGTCTGGTTGACAATAACACACATCGACAGCTTCATGCTGGTGACTGGAGAGAGTTGAGAGGGGTGAGGAGAGAGGAAAGAGGGCCAGAAAAAGACTACAGAAGGTCAGCATTTTATTTCCAGAATCCTTGTGAGGAAAGAAAGAAAAGGGCCCACCACAGAGGAGGTGGAAAGGGCACCCACAAGGGAAATGTCAAGGAGCGTAAGAACACGGTAAGTTCATGAGTGACATACAAGAAAGAACTGTTTCAGTACAACTGGTGAGGATATATGTATTCACTCACTCATTAATTCATTCACAGAACATTTATTGTATCACAAGCACCAGGCACTGTGTTAAACACTGGAGGTGCAGATGTGAAGTTTATCATGGAGCCAATTGTTTATTGACATGCAAGATGTCTAATAATGATAACATGATCAGAGCTATGAAGGAGGTATTGTACAGCACTGAGTGGGAACACTGAAGTCGGTCTGTAATGCTGGGGTGGGGAACAGGGTGCCAGGAAACATCTATAAGGAGAGGGCATTTAACCAAAATGATCACCATATCTTAACATGATATTGCATATAAAGCACTGAGTACGTTTTTCCATTTACATAGGTGTTTGTGTACAGAGTTACACAATGCATGTCTTTATATGTATACATATATTCTCCTTTTGTTTAAAAACTTGATTGCCATATCCTAAGAGAGACAAAAATCATTACATAAAAGACTTATTGCAAATACTGGAAAAAAAAAAAAGACAAAGCATTTCTGTAGTTTTACAAAACACCACTTGCTATTATTTTCAGGTGAGGATATGTGTAGAGACTAGACATTTTCAAAATGGGAGTCTCAGAGCAGGCTGTTCCCTGGGTATCCAGACCCCATTCTGCCACGGAGAGACCACATGAACACCGAGGAATGCACTGAGGAAAATTTTATTACATTCCATTTTAGAGAAATTATAGGATCTTAAAGATGCGGGTACCCTAGGATTTAACACAAACAGTTTAGGTAAGAAACCTAAAGTCAGCAGGATGCGGTAGCTCACGCCTGTAATCCCAACACTTTGGGAGGCGGAGGCGGGTGGATCACTTCAGGACAGGAGTTCGAGACCAGCCTGGCCAACATGGTGAACCCCCGTCACTACTAAAAATACAAAAATTAGCCAGGCGTGGTGGCACCTTCCTATAATCCGAGCTACTCTGGAGGCTGAGGCAGGAGAATCGCTGCAACCCGGGAGGCGGAAGTTGCAGTGGCAGTAAGTCGACACAGCACTACCGCATTTCAGCCTGGGTGACTGAGACTGAGACAGTCTCAAAACAAAAACGAACCTAAAACCCAAAAAGGTAAAAGGTAAAATAATTTGCGCATTACACATAGTTTGGTGTTGGGCCTAGATCCTAGGTTTCATAAGTCAGGTGCAGCGTTCCTGGCACCACGGTTTTTGCCCTACCACGGAGGGTCAAGCTGGATTATCCTGAGTTCTTCCAACTCCACCCTTCCTCCCGGGTTGGTGTTCCATGAGTAAGTTTAATTCAGATCAAGCTGGATTTTGAGCTTCCGTGTTTTTAAAATCAGTGTGTAACACTAACACCCACCGAAAGCAAATGGCTCTGGGCACAGGATACAGCCATTCACGCCCCCTGCCAGGAAAAGCTGCAGCGGACACTGGCTCCTCCGGCGTCGCCGGGCCACGTGCAGGAGGAGGGGCCGCCTTCTGGTTGGCGCCCCGGGTCCGTCCCTCCTAAAGGCGTAGGCCCGGCGCTGGAGGCGAGGGCGCGCCCCGGCTGGGAGGGCAGGGCTAGAGACCCGTCCATCACCGAGTCCGCGGGTGGCGGCACCTACCGCACCGCCGTACCTAGGGGAGGCGGAGCCGGGGCGGCAGGCCGCGGCCGGGGGAGGCGGAGCCAGGCCGGCGGGAGCCAATCGTTCGGGCGGCACGAGGGGGCGGGGGCGGGGTCACCGCGCGCGACCCAAACACAAGGGCCGGGCGCACCCTGCCGTCGCGCCGCTCCGCGGCCTTCCGGCGCGAGGGTCGGGGACCTCCTCCCTGCTTGGGCACCCCCACCTTCGCGGCTCAGATCCTCCCGCCAGTCCGGCCCCTCCTTCGCGGGGGGAGCGAGGCGACGGTTGCCGGGAAGCGCGCGCCACCCCTCCCTCCCATTCTTCGTCTTCCCCTCGCGCGCCACCCGTTTTTCCTCTTTCTCCGCTAATAACAGTTGGGTGGCTGGGGGAGGAGGGAAGGTGGCCCCGGCGAAGTCTGGGCGGGCGCCTCCCACTCAGCCGCCTGCTGCCGTGTGAGCCGGAGGATGGCGCCGGTAGCAGCGGCCGCCCGAGAGGAGGCGGTGCCGAGGCCCGGGGCGCCGAGCGCGGCGGCAGAGAGCGGCAGCGGCCCGTCGTGGCGCACCAGAACCGAAACCAGCGGCGGCCGCACGTCCACCTGAGCCGCCTCCTCCCGCTGGAGCCTGTGAGCGGTGCCCGCAGCCGGATCCCCTTCCTCTTCGCGTCCTCTCGTCTCCTGCGCCCGCGGCAGGCCGCCGGCCTCGCCCACCGCCAGGAGAAGAGCGCGCAGGGCGCCGACTGCCCCTCGGGGCGCCGGGCGGCGGCCCTGGACGTGCGGGAGCCTCTCTGTGCCGGCCGCGGCGCCTCGGCCCTGCCCTCACGCTCCTGCCCTCGCTCTCGCCCTCCCGGAGCTCCGGGCGCTGCGCGCGGGCCCGGCCCGGGGCAGGGCGGACATGGGCGCCAAGCAGAGCGGCCCGGCCGCCGCTAACGGCCGCACGCGCGCGTACTCGGGCTCGGATCTGCCTTCCAGCAGCAGCGGAGGGGCCAATGGGACCGCGGGCGGCGGCGGCAGCGGCGGCGGCGCTCGGGCCGCCGCCGCGGGGAGGTTCCCAGCTCAGGTGCCCAGTGTGCACCAGCCCAGCGCCTCGGGCGGCGCCGCGGCGGCCTCGGCGGCCCCGGCAGCCCCGGCCCCGCGCAGCCGCTCCCTTGGCGGGGCCGTGGGGAGCGTGGCGTCAGGGGCCCGCGCGGCGCAGTCCTCCTTCAGCATCCCGAACAGCAGCAGCGGCCCGTACGGCTCGCAGGACTCGGTGCACAGCAGCCCCGAGGACGGCGGCGGCGGCAGGGACCGGCCGGCAGGCGGGAGCCCCGGCGGGCCGCGTCTGGTGATCGGCTCCTTACCAGCTCACCTCTCGCCGCATATGTTTGGAGGTACGGCCCCTTCTCCGCGCGTTTGCGCCCGGCCCTCCCGCGGCTGCACGTGGGCAGCGGCTGCCGGGTATTTTTACCCTTCTCCTTTTCTCCTTCGGCCGGGGCGCCGGGGGCTGTTGCCCCGCCCGGCCCGCGCCCGGCCCCATCCTGGGGAGAAAGCCGGCAGTTAACACCTGCAGTGCTACTACCGCGTAGACGCGTGGTTTTGTTTCAAAACCTCGTAAGCACCCTCACCTCTGCGGCTCCCCAGTAGAGAAGGTCCATTTTCCAGTGAGGTGACTGGAGCAAATGTTGTTTTACAACAAACCGACGAAACAGCCCTTGTGGTTGTGGCTTTTAGTACCAGGAAGTCAGGAGGAGATACGTTGCTAAATGTTATATCTGGGGACTCGAGTGGGGAACAGCTTTTAAAGGCCAAAAGTCAAAGGGTCTCAAATGAACATTGAGTTACCATCTTTGGGCCGACTTTTCACATAAAGCTGTAATCCTTAAATCTGTGTCAGTCCCACTTACTATGTCACTTTAATTGGATGAATGCGTTAATGAAAAGTTTGTTTTTAAACCCCACTTAAAAATTTAGACTTAAAAAATTAGACTTGATTGTACTTCCAATTACTTAATTTTTAAATATGTATTGCAGCATTATTATATTTATTCAGTTTCAAATTGTATAAATGTTTGGTTACATACAAGTAACAGTTTATGTGAGTCCTGCTTAATTTGGACAGCATTTAAAAAATGGATACGTTTCTTAAGGAAATAAAAATTTTGCAACTCTGCCTGCAAGGTACAGTAATTGGCTAGGTTCTTTTGAAGAGCAATATTGACTAGAGTTAAGGAAAAGTCAGTTGTGAAAAATGGACATTTTTAATAGCAAAGTGATATGCTTTTCTATAGAAAGAGGAGGAAGGGTGCATTGTCCTGGGGAAAATGAATTCTGCCACTTCAGTTATGTTTTATGCTGATCTGCTTTATTGAAAACGCTAATAGTAATGAATCAGGACCACCTCCCCGCTCTATGAAAATAAATAGAAGTATAGATAGATAAGCATTCCTATGTCATTGCATTATGTATCTGATATGAGAAAAATTCACAACTGAGCACAGATGAGCAGCGAAAACACCATCCCTTATATTTTTGTGCCTCTTTTACTCATATTTATAAACCTAGGCACTTTGAGTAGAGACCTAGTAAAGTGGAATACTTAGTAATTTATCTGTTCTGATGTTTGTACTATCAGCATTCACTCCAGCATAAATTAAAAATAGGAATGTCTTGTTTAGTTTTACCTGTTTAGTAATGCTTTGCACATTCAATATGGAGCAACGCTTGACTTTTAATTAGCTATGTTGTTTTAAAGTAATTTTTGCTTCTTAATTAAATATATTCATCCTTTCTAAAATTGGGCCATTTTTAGAAGTCATTTGCTTTTGAGTAAAAGAATTCTACTGGTGTCCTTAGAGTGATTTGATCACAACTAATCTAACAGTCGAAGGTGCTGTAGTCCACATTGAAGAATTTAAAAGGCAGCTTCTGAGAATTGGTGATGCGTGCGAAAATGAAGGACAAACTGGTTTTTAATATTTTTTTAAAGTGAAAATTTGCATTTGGCAGTTATCAAAAGGTGAACATTTAATTTTGTTAAAGAAGGGTGAATAGGAAAAGTCTTGTCAAGTCAATAATATTGAATATGCTGATTTTTAAAAATTCATTTTCTAAGACGATAATTCCCTTTGGCAAACATTGTATTTGTATGGGTTTATTTTGTTAAGATAAATGCATTTGGTTCAGAGCAAGGGACACACAGTTGAGCCCCATGTTATTCCTAGTAAATGAGTAAGTAAAAATACCTAGTTGTGAAAGTTGGAGGTAAAGCATTTATCTTTTTTCTTATCTAAGTTCTGTATCTGTGCACTCTAGTTCTTTTAGTACTGTTGGGGTTGAATGACTGGGGCCTAGTAGCACAGTGACACTAAGTAACTTATAGCAGCCTTTCTCAACTGGCTTTCTGGAGAGAATTGAGCAGTAGTGTGCGGTGAATTTTAACTTTTAGCTCCAGCACATTTAGGACGGTTTTAGTTATGTATCACTCTTGGAACAATTGAGAAAACAGTCACTGAAATAATTTCCTGTGTTTGGTGATTCAGATGAGGAACCTCAATTGAGAAATGCTAGAAGGGGATCAGAGAAATTACCTGATCTTTTCTTACTATATGACAGATCAGATGAAAGTGCCACATCCTTAAATCTTTGTTGAGACGGAGATGGAATACACTTATGTAAAACCCCTTACTAGTGGCATTTGCCTTAGTGAGTGGCATTGCCTATTTATTAGTGTACGGATTATTAGGAAAACAATAGAACTTGATAGAAGCATGTTTCTCATTATCTTGAGGTTTAGAGAGCTAGATGAAGAATCTCACAATTAAAAAAAATTAGACTTGATTGTACTTCTAATTAATTTTTTAGTATGTGTTACAGTATTATATTTATTCAGTTACAAATTGTATAAATGTTTGGTTACATACAAATAACTATCTGAAAATTGATAAAAGGATTATTTCTGAATTAATGGAAAGTTCATATTGATTTTTGTAAAACTGTTGTTTTAATTGTTTACATTGTTAACATCTCCTCATAAGAAAATCTGGTACTAAGATTCAAAATTACTCTTTTGTAAGCTGTCATGTAATTTATAGAAAATGAAAAACAGTACCCTCCCCCACTTTTTTTAACCTTTAAGAGTCTAGCAAGTGGAATTGTTAGTAGTTCCCTCATAATGAATTGACCCACTGAATGAGGAGGTTTTCTGTGTTGGTTTTATGTTTCGCTGTCTTTTGGACGACTAATTTGGCTATATACACTCTTATTCTCTCTGGAGAACTGGAAGAAAAGTGCATAATCCAGATATTTCAGTTTGTAGAAATTTCCTAGAATTGAGTTACTGGACAGCAGAATATGATTATATCTATATAGATTTTAGGTGAAGTAAATCTTGTCTTTGTTACTCTTTTCAGACTGGTGAGTGTTATAGTAAACAGATGCTCTCTTGATGGACCACCTAGTGTTGTCCATCACCTTTGTTTTAAAAGAGGTGTTGAGGATATTTGCTAATATTTAAAAGTCTTGATGATTTAAAAGCCTTAGGATTTGTTTGGCTTTAATTTATGTCTGTTTTTTTTTTTTTCCTTCTGTCAAGTAGCTGTTCATACAAGTAATTAATATGAGTGGTAAAATAGCCTTTACTGATGCAGCAAGGATGGAGTAGATGAATTAGGCTATAGAAATATACAAATAAATGGAGATTATTTCCAGAGAAATCGTGTGGACTTCTATAATGTATACTTGAGTCCAGAAGTGAAAATGTAAATGACTTAATCTAAGACAACCAGTGTTGCTGGGTTGCTTTTGGCCTCCTGATTGTCTTAAGCTTTTTTGGGTGTGGCTTGCTAGGATTTCAGTAGTCTGATTATAATTCAGGTGCCTCCTTACTTGTGAAATATGTTTTCTTATATTGAAGGAGTGTGGGTTTTTTCTTAAAACTGAATATGCTGAATAAAACCTGTATTTCTAGGAAGATTTCTCTTAATTTTTAAGGCAGATGTGAACTCTTGCGGTGTTAGATTATCTTCATCAGTTAATCATTGTTGAATTGGTCTCAGTTATCACTTCTTACCAATATTAAGTGCCAAAGTGTTTGAATTTGGGATATTGTAATTAATCTACTTCATATTTCTGAATATTTTTTTCCGTTGAAGGCTTTTATGAGGAGTGGCAGAAGAGGAATGTTTGCCTCTAAATGAGCCTTCTAACCACCACCCCTGCCACTCCTGAAGGAAGAATTTTGGAGGTTAATGTTTCTCAGTTGTAATTTCATACCTTCATATTGTATACTTTGCTGTGCTTAAGTGTGGCCTATGTCATGGAAGTTTCTGCTTTGGGAATTTTTTTGGTGAGTTACATAGGACATCACCTGGTCTGAGAGCCGCCTGACCTAAGAACCTGGTACTTTGATGCTTTGCTGGCTGCTGCAGGGCCTGAGGGAGTAAGAGCCCTGTTGTAAGAAGAGTGTCTTATTTCTCAGGCACATCTCCAGCAAGTACCTTGCTCTCCTTCAATTTAATTGCTTTGCCTGGTGACCAGTAAGTTCTTCCAATTACCAGATATCATCAATTAGATATCAACTTTTAAACTATTTATTGTTTGGGTTTTAAGGAGAATTGCCTTAATATTATACTTATTACATGTACTAAGTATTATGTACAATTGGGTATGTTGGCAAATGTGTTAAAAGAGAGTGTAGGAATTGCTTTATGTATACAGCAAATTACTTGCTAAGTTTTGCCTTACGTAAATATTCTTAAGAACTATTGTTTATTTGAGATGTTAGTCTGTGTTTTGATTTTGCATGTACATGACTGGTTCCACATTTATTTGTTTAGAAATGAGACGAAACTTGGGCCTTTGTGAACAAAGGGTTCAGAAATACCTAGGTTCTGATTTTATTCACTTTCTAAGCTGCTTATTCACAAATGACTACAAATTTAGTAGCTTTAAGCAATACATTTATTGCCTCGGCAGTTTCTATGGTCAAGAGGCTGGGCACAACTTAGCTGGGTCCTCTGTAAGACTGCAGTCAACATGTTGGCAGGGCTGGATTGTTGTTTGGGGACTCAACTGGGAAAGGGTCTGCCTCCAGACTTCCTTGGGTTATTGGCAGAATTTCTTTCTTTGTGGCTGTTAGGTTCAGAGCAGCTTGCTTCTTCAAAGTCAGCAAACAAGAGACTCTGTAAGGTGGACTGGTGCTGTGTTCTTACATAATTATGTGCATGTAATCACATATAACCCATTGCCTTTGCTGTATTTCATTGATTAGAAGGGAGTCCTATGTCCAGTTCACGTATAAGGGGAGGGAATTATACGAAGGTTTAAACATCAGGAAGTGTAGGAATCAAGAATAGTTATGTCATTTCTGTCCACCACATGGATTATAGACTTA